TAGCATTAAGGTGCACATCTAAAATCCTTCCAAAAAGGTTGTTTTGGTGTTAGAAAAATATCCAATTGATCATCTTGACATCGAGATATATAGATATGAAAAAAGAGAGAGATATCAAGCCTTAAAAATTATATATCGTGTAACACATTATTTACACCGTGAATTTTCAAGATTTTCATGTGTTTATAAATCTACTTGATTTGAACCATTTTTTAAGTTAAAAAATTTATAATAAAGATAAAAATAGATTCTTGCATCATCCTACAAATTTTCAACACTAAAATTGCATCCCATTTTTTATTGGGTAAGTAAAAAATTGCATCTCATGAAAAAATTTAGATGTGCATTGTTTATGGTTGCAACCTTATACAAAACACAACTGTTAAGTGAGATTGAGGATTTTTCATTTCACGTCAAAAACAAACTCTTGGATTTTCGGGCCTAGATTTCTACGAACAAAGGGCTGCAATCCAACATGTTATGATATGTGACCTGTTAGAAACAATGATGTGACTGAGAATTGAAGATTTTTTATTTCAAGTTAAAAAAACTCTTGAACTTTTTAGCATAGATTTCTTCGAACAAAGGGCTGCAATCCAACAGATTACGGTATGGATCTGTTAAGAGGGATACAAAATGACCGTTTTAAAACAGAAGTCAAATAATTCGGTGGAGAATTTAGGGATAAATCAGAAGGAAAAGGGCATTGGGTCTAAAAACAAAAACCCAAAAATAATTGAAATTTGATCTCAATATTTCATAAATTGTAGATTTCAAGGCTATTGTGAATAAACGAGATAGTGACCGAGGAAAATTTGAGAGTTTTTCAGGAAAAAATGAGAGATCAATATCTTTCCACATTCATATTATGTTTAAAAAAAAGGAAGAAGAAGAAAAAGGGGGAGAAAAGGGATACAGGGTTCTTTTTTGTTGATCTTTTTATAAGAGAAATCAAACAAAGACACCAAATACTTACTTCACTTTGGGTATTTTTTAATAATAAAAGAAATAAACAAGGAAGCAAAGACTCCACATAAACATTCTCTCTCTTAGGAGGGAGAGAAATAGAAAGACACGAGAGAGAGGCAAAGCCTAATGAACCAACTCCGTGGACTGGTTTTTTTTTTTTTCCCTTAAATCAATAGACAGAAGGAAATAGATGAGAGAGAGAACTATCTTTCGCACCCCTGCTTTAGGAAATAGAGAGAGAGAGAGAACTGATCATTTTCTCCCTCTGTAGGACCACCATTATTAGGGCGTGATGCTAACACAGTCGAAAAACATTCGACACTTTTTTGGTAGAAATCACCCAATCCAACCGTCCCTTTTTGACATCTTGAGGAGGCACCAGCCATATAATGGCCATATGCTAGCATAATATTTTTCTATTAAATGCTCCAATGCTAGCACAAGATGATTGGTGTTAATGTTCAAATTGTGGCAAGCAGACAACCATACAAGTGCAAGAGGCATTGTTGCATTCAGTGAAGAGGTCTACCTAATTGCCTCGTAATTATTTACAAATAATGTATCCTCAGAACCAGTGTTTAAAAAGTCGGACTCGGACTTTCACTCGCCAGGGGCTGTAGTCCAAGCTCCCCTTGGTCCGCTTCAAATGAGTCCGAGTCTGACCAAGCAATTTTACAATGGAAAATGTAAAAACCATAATTAAAACGTTTGCGAAAGACACTTGAACCCAAAGGTGTCAAAGCTAGCACACAAATGTCCATCTACAAATACACCTTCAACATCTTGTAAATTTAAGAACATCTTTCCATGTCTATTGAGCAAATCCCAGCCATTCAAGTTCTATCAACTCCTGCATGCGATGGACAATTTTTCACAAAGCGGTGGGAGCACCATGGTGGGACCACCCATAAAAAACCAGAGTTTTTTACTCAATCCATTCTTGTTCATATGTTGTGCAGTTAGCTTCTACAAAAGGAAAAATGGACAATAGGAATGCAATGATACCCAAGTAGAGATGGACAGTAGGAATTTGGATTTCTCAAAACATGTGGGAATGGATCAAGAAGATTTCACAAAACAAATTCACTGAGTATAAAAAAGAAGTATAATTTGGGTATGCAATCCATCTGATACAGGATTAAAAGAAAAGGAAACACTGACCTTACACAGTTCACATACACCACTGCAATAAAAACCCTAACCCCAAACAGTAAACCTCATTTGTCAATCTGATATAGTGGTAGGTTTTCTGTTCATCTTACACATTTCTCGATTACTAACGTACTCATGAATGAAACCAAACAAACTGCAATATTTGGTAACTCCCCCTTCCTCTACCTGGGGGATCGGGCGTAGGCAAAAGAAATGAAGCAAAATACATGTAGAGATGAAATGTAGGCATTGCTTTATCCCTTTCATTATCAGGAGCAAAAACAGTCACAAGGGGAATCAGAAATAGTCTTTTTTTTCTTTAACAAAACCCTATCCAGAAAATGGCCACTAAATACTGGCTTTTCTAGGAATGAATGTTCAGGTCTCCATCCTAGAACAACCAAGAGACAGTAGCAAGCTGTTCAAATGGAAAACACATCTCAAAAATCTATCTCAAAACAGCACCCATACCTCCCATACAATGGCTTCTCACTTCTCTTTTCCCCAGCACATGCCTCTCTCTTTCCAAATTGTCAGAGATCCCAAACCTCAATGAGCACACTGAGTCAAACGCACCAAAGAATAAAAAAGACAACCAGTTAGAAACTCCAATGCCGAGCACTAGATAAAGATAGCCCAACAATCACAAATCAGTCTACATAAAAATATACAAAAACTAAAATGAAAAATGACCAACTCACCTGACCATAGATGGGTTGGAGAGCCATCGCCAAAGCCAAGAAAGAGCAGCCTTCTATGCTCTAAGCTGGTTTGACAAAACAGAAAGGAACAAGGTGTCCTGTCCTTCACTCTCCATTGCCATGACCAGCAGTCACCTTAGAAGAGGCAGCCAAATTGTTCCTCGCATAGAACCGGCCACCACGTCTTCCCTGGCCTTGGCCCCGGTCACGATACCTTGGCCCGGGTCCCACCTTTGAACCCACCTGGTTCTCCTCTTCCCAACCAGAGCGTTGCTGATACCCTGGACCCAAACCCACCTGTGAATCCACTTGGTCATACTCTCCCCAATCCAAGCTTTTCTGATAAGTAGCCTCACTAGGCTTGTTAGACCCAACAGGTTGATACTCATAGTGAGAATTATGCTTCCTCCTCTCACCATTTGAAGGTACATGCTGCTTGCCACTCTCCAAGCCATGAGCCCTGCCACCATAGGGCAGTTCATGGCCGGGGCCCCTCATAAACCGATTACTTTGCAGGGGATGCCTTCGGTAAACTGGCTGCTGTTGCTGTTGTTCAGTTTGAGAATCAATAGGTGTACCTACACTAGTTGCCTGCTGATTGTGGAGAACCTTTTCACTCTTCTCAAGATCTTGATGACCAGGCTTAGCTGCCTCCTTAGAGAAAGAAAGAGTCTTTTGAGAATTGAATTGAGGATTAAGTTCCTTCTCCAAGGAAGCCCTAACAACTTGCACAGAAGACTTCTGACCCCCTGGCCCTCCTCTATCGCCGTTTCGGCCCCCTCCCTGCCTTTGATGAGCAGAGTAAGCTTGAGACTTGGGTTGCCACTGAGAAGTGGTTTGATCCAAAACCACACCACCTTTCCCCTCCAATTCTATTGTCTCCACCGTCAAGGATTGGTTATTATCGCCTCTTTTGGCACCAGCTGCCTCCCAATCTTTATCAATTCCAGTTTGAGTATAATCACCTCTTTTAGCACCAGCAGCCTGCCACTCTTTATCAATCCCAGATTGGTTATGACTTCCACCTCTTTGCACCTTCATTGAGGATCTCTTTCCTTTCTCCACTGTCACAACAAGGCTTTCCCCCTGATAAAATGGGCTTTCTTGACCCTTAGAAGAAACAGGCCCAATCAAACCATTGTTTGAGTTATCATAATGCTTAGCCTGCCTTTTGGGGGAAAATGTTTCCTGTTTTGGAGGCTGATTCCGATCTGCCATCTTGTTCTGATCCCCTGAAGAAGACCACTCCAAAGAATTCAACAGGACATCATGGGAAGAGTCATGAGAGTTTCTCTGGCGCCAAGAGCCATGCCCCTTAGCATGCCTATGTTGTTTGCCCTCGATATTCTTTACCCCACCAGAATCTATACTGATTTCATTATCAGTCTGAGACATCTCCTGTTTCCCACTTGTTTGATCAGGAAAGGCTTGAGAAACAGCGGAAGCTGACTCTTGCTGGCAATTTTTCCCTTGTTGCGCCTGCTCTTTTGCTACCGGCTTGGGCACATACCTCTCAATCTCAGCCCTCTTACTTTTAAACGGGCTTTGTGGGCTCACTTGCTCAGCCTTGACAGTAGGGGCCTCCTCCTTACAGTTATGAGCAGGTTCATCAGAGGGCACCGGCTGGCTTGGTGCCTTAACAGGAGCCCACACAACAGCTTCACTTCCATGGAACTTTTCAGTCACTCTAGCAGTGTGTCCGCCTCGTGTGGGCCTCCTTGAAGGCTGAGGCTTCCACTGATTTACTTTACCAGGAGCTTCTTCAGATGGTTGTGAGGGTCCCTGATCTAAAGATGGAGCATTCTGAGAAATTAAGGCCTCTTGAGCCTCCTTAAAAGGCTGCAGTTGGTTAGCGTTGGCAGGGATGTTAACCTCCTGGTGAAAAGAACCAAATGTTAAAGACTTGCCATTATCACTTGAAGCATTCACAATATCACTTTCTAGGAAGGTGAATCAGCAACAGTCTCATCAGGCTTGTGTTTGTTCCTCAAGTTTCTGCCAAACTTCTTCTTGCCCACTGTAATGGAGGCCTCTTCAGTATGAGCAATGATTTCAGGTGAGCCAGATGGGCAAGTCGAGTCAACTACGGTGATTCCATGAGGTTTTGAGACACTTGAAGAGACTGGTGCAGGTTGGTTGTTGAGGTTCTTTTCATGAGAGAGAGTCGGTTTCCGTTTATAACCTGATGGCCTTTGCTTGGACCCACCACTAATTTCTTGACCTTGTGGGGCAGGTCTACCAATAGGAGGAGCTTCTTGTGTACTGGCTTCTTGTGGTGGTGGTAATGGCGACTTGGATGTTACCTGCCAAGAAGGACTTGGGGTCTTAGAAGGCATACTTGAAGTGAAACTAGTGGAGTCTTCAGGCTTCTTGGTTGAACTATTCTCAGTCATCTGTGTCTCTTGTTCATTAGATGGCAATTGAGGAGCTTCTGAACACAATGCTTCCTGAGAGCCACCGATAATAGTTTTACTGGAGGATTCAGTTGTGCCCACTGGCTTTGTCTGTGAATTGTTGCCCTGTTGAAGAGGCTGGTCAATCTTCTGGTCCACTGAGCCTTCTGCTACTGTTCGCCTATTCAACTCCTCCAACTTTGCTAGAGCCTTGGCCTTCTGCTCTCTCGTTCGTTCTTCCTCCTCCTTTTGCAGCTGCTTTGCACGTTGCGTAGCAATCTCTTTCATCTTCGCACGCTGAAAAAAGCTCAAAGCTCAAATGAAGTATAATATAATTCAATCGAAATGAAGTGTTATAAACAGTGGTCCATTGGGTTCATCACCGTCCAAGGGAATGATGAACGTCTGAGAGAGAGAGAAAGAAAGGAGTGGAGGGGAGAACAAGATAAGATCCCCATGGTGGATGGATCTAACCCTCTCTCTATTACCGTACAGCAGTTTCATTGGACAGTGATGACCCCAATGTGACAATGGTTTTTCCACAGCCAATTCGGACATCAAAGTGTACTTTTTCCCCAAAAGTAACTAGATCACATACCTGCGCCTTATGATCATCTGAATCAAATGAGGATGTCAAGTATGGTACTCCACCAACCTTTATAGATATATCTAACACATGTTTCTCAAAATCATCTTGACCAGCATGATAATCAGGCATGAGCACATTAACTTGGCTGGATTCCCCAGAGGCTTTCCTTCGCCACTCTTCACTCTCCTGAAAATTCTTATTGTTATTAAACCTTCCTTTGGCTCGATAGCCTCCTCGCCCTTGCACAACCTGACCTCTTTGATTACTATGAGAATGGGACCTCTCTCCAATTTCAGAGCACTCCACCACAGCCTCCATTGAGGTATGCAGCACTTCAGGCTGTTTAGTTTCAACTGTAACATTGCCACTTGATTCAGAGTGATCATCAATGGTTGCACCTTCATCTTTATGAGAAATGAGCACAAGCACATCACTACCAGGAGCCTTCTCGGTTGACACAGGAGCGCTGCCATGTTCTTTAGCAGGAAGTTCGGATTTACCATTCACAACCTTGAACCTTTTGGGTTTCTCCTCTTTACTAACAACTTGGGAAGCTTGATATCGACCTTCAAATGATCGAGCCCCAGCCACATTGGTCCTGGTAGCTAGCGGTTCTTGAGGAAGCTTTGGTTTACTATCAGTAGTATCAAACTTCCTATCAACAGAGACCATGGGTTTACTAGTGGCTTCAGAAGTGGTATCACTAACAACCGAAGACCTACAATTATCTGGGCTATTTTGTGAAGAAACTTCTTCACTAAATGCTGGCTTTGAGAAATCCATAGGCTCATCATTGGAAGCAGCAGCCCCCCAATCATTTTCCCCACTAGTCCTTGGGCTCACCTTATCAGAATGCATTGTTGCATTTGAAGCCAAATGGTTTCCTTCCTTTTGCCCTGAATTCTTATCAGACCAGTCATAGTTAGGCTTCAGCAGAACTTTGTACGGCCCCTGATGCACCTCAGGACCATGTCGAGCCTCTAGAACTTCCCTAGGTGGACCAGAGTTGGCACCCTGGGCAGGCTTCCCTTGAAATCTACTTGAATCAGGGTGGGTATTTTGGTTAGGATATCGGTTATAAACAGAAGGCCCCATCATGGTAGGATCTCGATCATCTGAGTTGTTAAAGCCCACACGTGGAGGACCATAATACCCATCATAAGGCACTGGACTAGGATAAACCCCCTGACCTAGAGGCATCGGTCGACTAGGAACCATGTAAGGGTCAGGTGGCACAAGAGGTCGAAAGGATTCCCCATTCTGGTGGTAACCACCACCTCCACTACTGGGCCTTGGAACTGGTTGTGTATAGGGAAGAGGCCTGACTGGCATTGGACCATGGAAATATGCAGAAGGGTCTACCGGATATGGCCCTGTAGGTCCTGATGGTCCATATGGACCCACGTGGGGTGGGCCCCTGAACCAGGGGCCTTCTTGAGGGTTTCGAACTGGGGCCCCTTGCCAGGGATCAAAATGGGGTGGTGGCGGCATGGCCATGTTCGCATATGGCTGCATCTGCTGAGGCTGATCTCTCTGCCAATTCTCCCTGTAAGGTGGTGCGGCCCCGCCTGAAGAATATGGGGAGTTCTCTCTTTTCCAAGTGTTTACAGATCCCTTCTCTGTGCTATCATCCACAAAAACGTCTTCTGTTGAGACAGACCCACAGTCAAGTGACAGATAGAAACATCTTATTGATTGCTGACCAATCAAAAGTGAAGAATTCTATATCCATCTATCTAGAAAGCTAGCTGTATACTAACCCACCTACCTATCTATTCGTCTATATATCGATCTACCTACCTATCTAGGAGTATATTCCATGCTTCTTAAGAGTGTAGAAGGTGGTACTCAGTCCCAACCATCGTTCTCTGACCAGGACCACCCAGGTCAACCAGACAAGGTCCAGCCAGATCAAAGAAGTTTTTGTTCCAGCTTGAAAAGATTCACAGTGTAAACTCAGCTGGACTTATTTGATACAGCTTGAAAAGATTCACTGTGTAAACTTGGATGGGTCATGATATAACTTGTTTGACCTGGCCCAGTCTTTCCAGATGCAATGAGTTTGCTTTTTTGTCTTTACATGAAAGGGGTGAAAAAAGGAGGGACGGGGGGGAGGGTTGTTAATCTACAGAAGTGAGTCCAATCCAATTGTGTATTTCATTGTATTTCATTCTAGCAAAACATGTAGTTAAGGCAATTTTCCCGACCTGAAATTTTATCATCTAGTGATCAATTTCAGAAAAAGAAAATTGTTAAAAACCCAGATCAATTGTCTATTAAATAGGTTGTCCAGAGTCGATCAATGATGGAGATCTGAGCATTTTTTTATCTCCAAGTCAAATGCTTTTAATCCAAAATAAATTTAAACCTGAATAAAGATCATTTGAGAGTTCTGGGGTAAAACAAATCCTCTGACATGCAGTTTTCGTCATGGGTGAAGATATACATCTTAGTCCCTCATGACCAAAATTTCCAACGGAGGAAATTTAAAATAAATAAAAATCTCACTCTCCAATCCTTTTTCCCTCATGATTAAAAAAAAAACTTAGGGCCCACGACATCCTCTCTCTCAAAAGAGGGTTTAAGGGTTAGCCATATTCTCTCTCTCTCTAATCCACCCCATTTTTTTAGAGAAGACAAGAAAGAAGATAGGTAGTAGAACTGTAGAAATAATGAGCTTGCAAACTTAAGTTCTAGATCATAAAATTCAATTTAACTCTTATGGCCCCCTGCTTTTTGAATGCGAACAATTAACTCCACGGGCCAGGAATTACTTTCAACAACAGATAGTGGGCATGAGTACCCAAAAACAATATTTATACTTAGAATATAGTACTCTGTCCCGTCTATCTATACATGTGTGTGTGTGTGTGTCGTTGTGTGGGTGTGCATAAGAAATATGAATGTGGATACACTCACCAGAAGGAGATGTTCCAGGCCTCTCCTTTGGTGTCATTTGCCGCCCAGAGGCTGAAGATGGACGCTCAGAGGCTGAAGATGGACGCCCAGAGGCTGAAGATGGACGACCAGAAGGCGCAGATGGGTGTCCAGAAGCCGATGATGGACGCCCATGAGAGCTGTGGCCTGCCATAGAACATATGAAAGACCAAAATGGGTCTCTACAAGTTTTTGAGTATATGCATAATCGTTTCAACCTTCTAAATGCAAAGATCATACACTGTTTCCAAAAACTACAATACCTAAAGATCATGGGCAAAGAAACTCTAAGTACCTTGTCGTGCGTTCGAGTCAGTAGGCTTATCAGAACCAAGAGTTGGAAAATCGCCAGATGAAAGCATAAACCCGCTGCCCTTTGAGGACGAAACTCCCTGTGAAGAACCATTGCCAATAGCTAGCATACATCAGGGAAAAGAGCGTATAAAAATTTAACCAAACATAAAGACAAAAAAAAAAAAGGGGAGACACCAAACAAAAAATACCACGACAAAATTAGTAACTTTTTAATGGGAAAAGGAAATGCATAATTACCCACCTAGCATATGGTAATTCCATACATGTGCTGAGAAAACAGCATCCTTCTCAACGGCAGATGCTAGAGATGAGCCATGGTTCCCATGATAGACATTTATTTGGAACCATAGTTCATTTCCACCATCCTTCTTCAGAATGGAATGCCCCACCGGTATATGGTATGTCATAGAGATATGCCAATAGTTTACCTTTTTTTTGCATTAACGTTTCCCTTCTGTATATTTGAAGACAATTAAGAAATCATGGGCAAAGAAACAGATTTACCAATTTCTCTGCAGTTCCTGATCCTCTCCATGCAACAGAACTATCAGTCAAGGGTTCAGCGAACCGGGATAGCTGAGAACTACCAGGTCTTGTTTCTGCAGAGTGAGGACGAGGTGATGGCAACAATGTTTGGTTCGACCCCAATACCCCTGATGCAGAAGAAGGTCGAGAAGATGGGCCCCATGCACTAGAAGAAACAGGTTCTTGTGATTTATCACTACCAGCTGTAGAGGGGCGAGTGTCACCCCCAGATGAAGGGCGACCAGTAAGGCGGTTAATCGAACTAGGACTTCCATCAGTGTTTGGGGATGACAATGCTGACAAACCCCATGCATTTCCTGGAGCGGTAGGACGAGTGTTGCTTCCCCAGCCAAGAGTACCCCTGCCAAATATGCCAAAAAGAGAATTCACAATTGGGTCCTCTAGAGAATAATACACCTAATTGAATGTGGTCAAACAAGTAGGGAACATTCAACCTTTTTTTTGGGGGATAGTTGACATACTTCATTGATTTCTATCAATCAAATATACAAAGTATGAGAGGACTCTTTACGAAACTAGGTTTAAAAGCCTAGTCTCAACAGACACGAAAATAGGATTCTACAAAATTGACTGTGTGGTATATGCTCTATAAAGGCCATTATGCTGGTACCAAGTCACTACTAAGTAGGTTTCCCTTATTCTTGTCTAGCAAGCACATCTGCCTTCTCATTTACCTCCTGCGTCATATGCCGTATGACCAATTGCAAGGGGATGAGGAGCTATTCTATGTCCTGGAAAATGCTATATGGAAGCCATGGAAATTGTTTTATCCCCTCCTTCCTTGAAATCACATCTTGAAATCCCTTCTGTAATAAGATTTTTTCGATTTGGATTCAAATTTCATAAAGCTTACTAGCAAGACGAGGCTTAAGACCATAGTTCCCGGGATCGCCCCTAAAGGGCATAGTTCCGGCTCCTAAAACCAGCTCCCGCACTCCAAATCATGGATCTCAATTGGAGATCCTTTTTTTTTGGTGAGGAAACTCGGTCCATTTTCTAGGAATCTTAATCCCTTATTTGTAGGGATCTGATCCCCTAATGAGGGAGCTCAATCCTGTTATTTGTGGATCTGGATCCCTGTCATGTTGGGATCTCGATCCCTATATTTGTGGATCTCCATCCATATCGTGTAGTGATCCCAAACATCAAAAATTAAAATAATTAGAGTACTATATATAGATTGTGGACTATAGAGTATTAGACTGGAGTTGTAAAATCTAAAATGCAAGAACCATATCAAGAATTGACATAATTAAAGCATTTAACACAATGGGAAGAGGGAACCAGGTCTGTTGCGCAATGGAATCTAGTTTCCGAGAGCATGAGGACTGCGATTCTTTATATTTACGAATTGAGGACCCCAATTTATATGGATTGGGGTCCCTCAGGTATTTGGGATCGAGATCCCATGAGAAGTGGGAAAGGTGGCCCTTGCAAAATGGGATCCAGATCCTTGGGACTGAGATCCTTTATACATGGGATGCAGCTCAGGGCTAGATACACTGTAAGGTTTGCGATCCCGGACTACCGGATCTTTTGGCCTATCTAGATCTGACAATCCCAATCCCAATCCCAGAGCTGTTCCCGCTCCAATTCCCAGTCACTATGCTTCAGACCCTGCAGCTTCACAACTAAGCAATGGTCCCTGAGTAGGTAATCAGGATCTGACCCTTATGGTTCCTTACAATATCTCCAACACCTACAGACCCAGAGCTCCCATCAAAGGTTCCATCAAAGTTCATTCAGTACATTGTCAGGTGTCAGCTGCCATTTCAAAGGCTCAATGTTCAGCACTACTTCACATTTCTCAACAATGACCCCAATGATTAGTAAAATCTCTGGCCCCATATCCCCAAAATTCCTTGTTTGACCTTGCCAATGAGATCACAGTGGCCTTGAGTTGTCCTCTCAATATGTGCAGAGCTTTATTTTGGTCTTTAAAATACCTGTTGTTACTTTCTAACCAAATAGCCCACAAAATAGCAAGTACAGTTATTCTCCATAAACCAAGACCTGGAATTGATACAGGTGGAATGTACCAGTCATTGCTCCCACATGGTGTCAAAGGAGGAGGGCTAAGCCTGGGTGATCCAAAAAATATACAGTGCAAAAGACCACAGTTGTACGAGTACAATAGGAAGCATTTGACATTACATCTCTGGAGAAAAGTTGTCTAAATGGGAGACTTACAACGGTAACAGAACTATACATACGAGCATTACATTATCAAGTACATTAAGCTCCGTGCAATATAAGGCCACATTCATGTAATCATTTATTTCTTGTAGTCTGCTGTTTCTACATTTCTTTCATTGCTACATACAGATGAAATCACTTTATCAATCCGTACATTCAAATTCTAGTAATCACTTTATCAATCAGTACATACAAATTCTTGTATGCTTGACTCGAAGTATACATCCCTAATGAAACACCTAAGTATATCCACTACATATTTGAACCAAATAGAGAGAATATGACCTGATCTCGTCCTAAGTTCAACCTCGCTCGAAAAGGATCAAATGTACATCCCCACTGACCAAATCAGGATGCATTCCAGCTAGAAGGTGAACCAACTGGCCATTGCAACACAAGATTGCATATGGTTTTTTTGTGTTCATGAAAATAATTAAAGGTACTTCATTCAAAATAAACAGAAGACACTCCCAGCGAACATTGGGTGTTTCCCTAAAATCTGGACACTTAGTAGAAGTAACATGTGAAGAAATAAAACGAGTACATGCACTGCTTAAAATAGGTTGCATTCGATTGCTTCGGAACTATCAAGACACAAAATAAGTCCCCTAAAATAACAGGTGCTAGCAATCCCTATCTTTGATATCGCATAAGATACTAATAGTGAATATCTAAAAAGTTATCTTGCCCAACACAAACTACAGACACAAATAAAAAGTAATTCAATTCCATTAGGAAAAAAACATTACTTTGGAACAATTTCCACATTTGGGTCCAAGCCGTGGTTCTCCAACCTGCAAATAACAGAGATCATACAGTCATTCAAGAAAAAAGAGAAGCCACAAAAAATATGGGATTTAAATAGTCAATTTTTTTTTTTTAGTTAACTTCCTCTCAAAAAAATATAGTCAATTTTTTTAAGTACCATACCTTTGACTAGGCAAATTAACAGGCTTAGGTACAGCAACTTTAGGTACAGCAATTTTTCCTAAAAGTTGCATGCCACCTCTGCGAGTAGAAGTCCATCTGCAACAAGTTCCAAGAATATAATAAACATAAAGATCATCCGAAAGGAAGTGTTGAAAGTTTGTCCCCTCACCAAACTTTTGTATCAATATTTTGACATAAGATCCATTCAATCATCACCAATGCAAACAGGGATGATGTACACAATACAATTTTCTTCAACCATCTCATGTTACACAGAAATCAGGGTCCCATGCACTCTAAAGCTTATAACTTTGAAATGGAAAACCTAAACATAATTAACCAACTCAGATAGAAGCATGTAGGCAACAAGTCAATTGTATTAAAATGCACAGAACATAATGAAACAAATGACCAGCACACATCAAATGCCAAACATCTAACATCCTTTCAAAGAAAGGGCTGAGAGTTCTAAAGGCATGCGCGGCATGTCAGCCCTACCATCAGCAGCCCCATTTATTATACTTTACATCCAAAAAAAAATGTCTAGGGAAAATTCATTTGTCATTAGGGGGAATATACAACACCACTTACATACCCAGGTGCTACCTCCATTTGACCTGAATTTCTCAAGAGTCTTACATGATACAAGAAAAGAAAGTCTTCGAGTCTTCGGTAAAAGTCTTCTACCAAAGATATACAGATCCAAGACTAAGTGCTATATCTGATATAAGAGCACCACAGTCAAAGTGTATAAATTTCTACATCCTAGGCACCTCTTGACCCTAAACCAATAATTGTTATTAAATTGAGCACATAATTGACTGATTTGTAGCACAAAGGCATGATTTGCAAATCATCGTTGTTAACAAATACAGATATTAGGAATAGTGATTTAACCATGTAGGCAAAGAAACAGGGATCGTGAAGAAAGAAAAAAGGGAATCACTAGCCCACATTACTAATCTCCCAAAGAAAGGAAACCTGCTCATCATTTAATTTCACAGATGCAATGGAGCCCCAGACACCTTAATTGGCAACTTCCTTACCCCTCACGACTTTCCAACTCTTCATGCCCTAAGTTGTAGTATGTTTATGCCAGAACTAGTTTCAATTAACCACAAAATACACTTCAGTCAAAATATAACGATGTTTCTAGTTGGATTAAAAAGTATATGGTGTTCCATGCCAATGCAAAGAACTTCTATTAAAGGACTTCTTTTATTGGTATGAAAGGACGTGTAACGTGTTACTATAATCGAAATAAATCTCTATGAAAGCCATCATAAAAGGGAAAAGGCAGGGGTGGGGTGGGGGGTGTGGGAGGAGAGAGACGGGACTCAAGTAGCTAACTTATCAACCAATAAAATACTTTAATAAGACCAAAAAGTATTGCCATTTTCTTTTTCATAAAATTAAAATATGTATGAGACTAATATTGAATCCCCTATGTACCACTGATTGCATGCATTTGATGTTATTCTTTGGCACAATTACACAAATCAAACGATAAAGTCATGATCGGCTGAAGTCAAATTTGAGAAATGGAAACCCAAAAACTTAATGAATTTCACAAATACCAAATAACGATAAAAAAGATCCCCATGCACAAAATAAAGACTGTCAAAATCCCACAAACCCTTAACATATATGGACAAACACATGGATAATGTGAGAAATAACCGAGGTACCTTCGATCTCCAGCTAACACGCTTGAAGACATGGTTTACTTTGAAAAACTCCAAGGTCATTCAACTTGATTGTTCTCCTACAAAGAAAAACAACATAAACACCCATTATGATAATGCAATATCTAAATGAAGACAAATCAAGTACATTTGTAGCCACACCCAAGAACGTCTACCCTACAGTTATAGTTCCCTATACCAGAAATTTCAATACTCATGCATGTAGACACTTATGGTATCTTGTACAATGTTGCAAGTGTATATGCATGCAATGTGTATAGGATGAGTGAGAGAGTGGTACATCTTGTACAATTGAGATATCTATGAACAGCGAAACATTCTCATTCAATCCTACATTTTTCTCAAGCCACACTTCAAATACAAGAAACATGACAGAAATTCCAGTCATTTCCATAAGAATGTACTTCTCACTAAGGTTCATCATCATGGAAAACTTTGAGCAGAACAGGCAGAAGTTCTCAATCAACTCCTTTTTATGTTCATCTACATCTCAAAGCATGGAACTTGACCAAAGATAAGACAATCTGATACAAAAAAAATAAAGAAAAGCATTTTTTGGACTCAAGGGCAGTAGCCTCGTGATAAGGCACGCTATGTCTTTAACCCTAAAGTTATAGGTTACTGTCCAGCAGCTCCAGCCCAGTGAACTAATAGTAGAAAACAAAGACCACAAGAGAGAGAGAGAGAGAGAGAGAGAGATTAAAGAGGGACTTGTTTTTGGAATACAAGTAGAATACTCTCCCTCTTTAATCCCTAATTGAAAGACATTCTACTGGAAACTTTTTAGGGATTAAAGAAGTTGCAAAATAGAGCTTTTGGCAACCAAAAGTGACCGATTGAAGCCTACTTCTATTGGTTTTCTAAAAGGTTAGTAAAATTCAATTGTTTATGTTTAGGGTTTTGTATTTATTGTAAGTATTGTTTCATGCTTTTTTTTCATTTTCATGTGTTTATTTTTGAAGTTTGGCTTTACATTTCTGATGAAACTTTATGAGTGCTTTGTTTTCTTAGTTTGCTAATTTTTTGTGATTATAATATATTTATGGCTATATTTGGCTATTTATGCCTATGTTTGACAATATTACTCTATTTATGGTTATATCTATAATTTATAATGCAAAATAATAAATTTATAATACACATTTGGCTATGTTTGACTTTATTTGCCTTTTTTTTTTTTTTGAATTGGGTAACACTTGACTAAATTTATAATATATGTAAATCATAAATTCATAACACCAATAACCTCCACCCCCCTTCTCCCCCCCCCCCCCCCCCCCTCTTCTCTGCGGCCCCCACTCGGGTCACTAGGCAGCTCCCATCCCGGGCCGTTGCACACCCCAACCACAGAGGCACCCGTTTACGTTTTCTTGAACATTGTTTTTTTGAAACTACTAACTGTCGTTTTCTTAACATTGTTACGCTTAAAGATAACTATAGACAAAGCAACATAAGGCATAACCATCCCTTCATCAAGCAAATTTCTATTTGAAATGTCTCAACAGTTCATTTCGAATTATGACAGCGTGGGTAGTGCTTCAAAAAACGCTAGGAAGCACCCTAACACACAACGCCCAGGTGCTAGGCAGGCCCCCAAAACCTTAGGCACCCTGAGGTGAAAATTTGCATATATGTCCTGTTCAAAAGCACATATATGCAGATATTTGAGTTAATTTTGTATTTTTTGCATTTATACGTATTCTATCTAACCTTTTCCATGCAAATATATACACATGAATGCTGAAACACGTTCAAAACTTCGAATCATTGAAAATTTAGTGAAAAAAGTCAAAAAACGTACACAAGTCCATGGTGTATTAGCCTCCAACTATCCAATCCAAACTGAGTATGGCATATTCCATACTGACACATGAACACAATCATAGCTAGACAAGATGAAATACAACAGAAAAGTACAAAAACAATAGCCCAAATGTCCAATACAAGAGGATGTTTATGACATCTTTCGAGCTAGAAATCACCGCAAAAGTCTTCAAATCTTCACTAGCACCATAAAAAAAAATAATCCAACAATGAAGGTTAAGATTTTGAAAGCTTCCTCAAACTTCATAATCTTTTTTTGATTCACAGAAATATCAAAATCAATCGATTTTGGGGCTCAAATTAGAATTTTTTTCTCACATAGGGGCTTTAGAATACCTCCAATGTTCATTTATGAAAAATTTGTGGGTCAAAATGACCCAAAGTGCCCTTAGAGGTCACTTTAACACCCAGGTCCTGGCACCCAGGGAGGGCCATCCAAGCCTGGCATGCGCCCTAAGGACCTTCTGGCAGCTAGGCACCAGGCTATCCATTTTTTTGAACAATGAGTATAGGCGTTTTGCATCTGGAATTAAATAAAGCCACAAACATACAGCCAATAACTAAACTAATAGGATCCACCAAAGGGACCAACTCAAAAGCAACTTAACTCACCATTTAAACAGAATTGTAGGCACCAATATCTCTCTAATTCACAACGTAAAGGTAGGATGAATGTTCTCATACAGGGTTTAGCTCCTAAAAGACCACAAAAGATATATGCGACTCAAAAACGGACTTGAAAATCCTAGAGAATCTCCGTAATATGGCCACACTAAGCTAATAGCAGATCAAGATTTTTTTTTCTTATTTTTTAATTAAACCCTCACTGCCCTCCATGCCTAGACGTAATTTGTGGTGAAAGAAGACATAGACACATACAACGATCTCATAGTATAAATACGAAGAAGACACAATGAATGAACATTAAATGGCATAGTAACCAACAAATTTCAGAAAAATAAAAATCATAGAAAAGATGTAACTTTGAATGCTATGATAAAGAAACAAACTTTAACGAACCATCTCCCCAATAAAAACCCTAGTTCCAACATGAATACATAAAAAAACCAAGGCTTTATAATTCAATTAACGAGTTCGAAATCAATAAGAATACATCCAACTCTCACAAAACATTCTAATAAAAAATAAATGACGGCCAAAGAAATCTCATCAGTTTCCAACTACCGCTAACGCTACTTAATCAAACAGGGAAGTTGATCAACAAAAAAACCCTAATCATGGCAAACACAAACAAAACATAAATAAAACCAGACTGGATTGATTGCTTCCCACCTGATTCTTATGCCTTCAAGAACACGAACCAAAAAGCTTGAAACCCTCGACTCCAAAGAAAAAAGAAAAAAAAGAAAGAAAACACAAAAAATCGCGATCTCCCTCACTCTAAAAACGATCCAGTAGATATCAGTCTAAGGATCGCTATCTCAGATAGCGTCAAAGAGGCGAATGAAGAGAAAAGGGAAAACAGATTTAGAGAGAGAGAGAGAGGGGTTGGGAATAAAAGGGCCGCAGAGGGAATCCCGTTATGTTTTGGACGGGGTTTACATGGAAAAGGGTTAGAGAGAGAGAGAGGTTTGGAGAGAGAAAGAGGGAGAAGTTTAGAGAGAGAGATAATGTTATTTACAGGGGTACCTGCTAGAAACGCCTTTTTTTGTCTCTAAATTTATGTGGTTCACGGGAAAAAATATTATCTGCAAACTAAATGACTAAAATAGCCCTAATTTTGCTCTCTAAGTTAGAGAGAGAAAGGAACTATAATTTGATCATATCCTAGAGAGAGAAAGATAACATCTTTTCGTAGAGAGAAAGGAAAGTTCAAGATTTGCTCGGCGATTGTAAGCTTATCCGTTGTTATATTTAACAAAAAAATATATATATTACATATATTTGCTTTAAATGCATAATATACATGGGTGCGGTTTGTATAGAGCCTACTTTCAAACAATCAAATTAAGGACTACTTTCAAACAGTATCGAGAAATGTGGTTTCAATACTGAAAATATTTGTGATAGCCTTAAAATATATTTTCATTTTTATTTATAAAGTTTAAAGTTTCAAAAATAGTGTAGATCGACAAATCTATGAAAACTTGAAAATTGACCGTCCAAAAATACATTTCAAAATACACTATTTTCAAAGCTTGAAATCAACTTTTCTCTCATTTCTATGCATCTTGATGTCGAGATGATCAATTTGAAGATATTTCAGCATCAAAACAATTTCTTTTAATGAAATTTTTTAAATAGGCTTTAATTTGTTTGTTTAAAGCCTCAGCTCCATATAAACTTTTTCCTATACAGTGACGTGCTATTATGACTTAGCGAAGTAGCAAACTTGAATGGTTTGTTGCATCGGTAGAAAGTTAAAATTTGACTTGTTGTTG